GCCCCCACCCCAGCCCATTCCCTCTCCCTCAGTGAGGAGGCCAGCTGCCGGATGTGGCGCATCCGGTGGGACGGTGTGAAAGGAGTGGGGGAGGGTGTGGGCGAGCACCATGGTGGACGATGGTGTTGCAGTTCTGGCTGCTTGTGGGGGCCAGGCCTGCCTTCGAAAGCCGTCAGATGCTGCTGCTGCTGCCGCTGCCAGGAAGAGAGGTTTGGCTGGTTTGCACGGGGTCAGCGCCCTCCAGCGCAAGGTCGGCCTTCCCGAGCTACTGGCAGGTGGTCCAGCCCCGAGTGATGGCTACCCTGGGGGAACCTTCTGGCAACAGAGAGCCCAGTCCTGTGTGTGTGCACATGCACTTGCTGCTCCTGCAGTGGACCGAAAGCTGGCGGAGGGGGTGTGGGCAGAAACCCTCTTCGTCTCCTTCCTCTGGGTCTTTGTCGCAGCTCCTGGTCTTCGACACAGGAGGGTGGGGCAGGCTCCGACCCGTCTGTGGAGAGCAGCCGCCCCACGGCAAGGAAGCGGGCTCTGGACTGGGGTTGGCCTCCGTTTCCATGCTCGTCTGAACATTTGGAAGAGATCACTCTCTGGTAACTGAACATTCCTGGATGTGTGTATTTTCTTTGAAACGACCTCCATAAGCTCAGGAAAAAGCGGCGGTTCTGCCTTCTCCGCAGCGGTCCGCCCCAGACTGCCTGGTGTTGTTTTCTTGGTTTCCTGGACCCGAAACACCGAACCAGGGTTCTGAGTTTGGAAGGAAACTAGTATTGCATCTGGGATTTTCCTGCCCCGCCCCTCCCAGGAGTCTGCACACACCAGACCAGACTCTGTCACACAGAAACAGACATGGGATCGTTCTGCGGTCCTGATACAACTGCCACGTGCTTTCGGAATTACATCATGAGAATTGCTTTTTCTCCAGCAGTAGTTTGGTTTCCAAGGAGGCATTAGCAGCCTGAGGGGCGGGGGTGGGGGAAGAGAGAGAGAGACTGTGTGTGTGTGTGTGTGTGTGTGTGTGTGTGGTGAGAGAGGCTGAGGCAGGGTGGAAAGGTAGGGTTTTGGTGAGTGCACGTGAATATGGCCGGACTGAAAAAGCTGGCGCTCTTAGCCTTAGGCTAGACTGCCTCGTAGCAGGGAGTACAGTCAGTGCAGGCATGTAAAAATGTGCCCCCAAGTTACACTGCGATTCCCCTCTGAGCACCAGTTTCCTCATTTGTTTAAAAAAAATTAGTGCACATGAGTCCCTAGCCAGAGCCTGAAACAAAGCACCTACTAAGTTGTTGGGAGGACGGTGATGACCAGACCGCATGCGAACTCCTTGAGGCCGGGGCCAGCCCGACTGCTCTGCACAGCTCAAGGCTCAGGGCTCAGGGCAAGGTCCGCCATGCTGGCTGGATGGGTGAGTGGGTGACCAGGGGGGTGATGCGGTTGCTATGACTGCAGTGCAGGGCCCTCTGTTAAACTCTGCGCCTGGCTTCTTTGCTGCTGTGTCCCCAGTGCCCATGCCAGTCTAAGGCGGACACAGGGAGGGGTACAGGGGGAGGGGCAGCCCAGTCCCTGTTCTCCTGGTGCAGTGGCACCTCAGGTGTCTTTTCACATCTCCGTGCTCTCTGCCCTTTCCTTGAAACACTCCCACTCATCCTTTGAGACCCAGCTCTGTGGCTCTTCTCAGTGATGTCTCCTCTGACCCCGCCGAGGGGAACCTGTGATTGGTGGTGGCATTTGTCCTTACTGGACTCCCTCCCACCCCCACTACACAGCAGGGCCCTGGAGGGCAGGGCTGTCTTCCCAGAGCTGGTCTGCCACGCCAGGGGTCTCAGGGACGGGCGCTACGTGAGTGAATGAATGAACTGCTGATCCCAGTGTGGCTGTTAGGTCAACATCTACCCTGGCACAACAGCCTCAGGTCGCCCTCTTTTCCTTCACGCTCACAGGCCGTCCATCCGCAGCCCCTCCCAAACCCATGCCTGTCCCCGCGGCTGGCTGTCCAGGTCATCAGCATCCCCTACCCACTCCTGGTTTCACTGTTCTTTTTTTCCTCTCTGCAACCAGTTTTCCACACAGCTGCCGCCTCAGTCTTCCCCTGCTCAGAACCCTCTGGGGTACTCCAGATAAGACCCAAGCTGCCCACTGAGGCCTGCAAGGCCCTTCCCGCCCTGGCCCCAGCTGGGCTGTCTGCTGCCTCCCACTCTCCAAGCCCCAGCCATGACCATCTGCCTCCATCCAAAAGCTGCTCAGCCCATGTGCATCGCAGGGTCTCCGCAGAGAACAGCGCTGGCTTCGTGGCTGGCTCCTCCCTCGGGTTCAGTTCCAGTGTCACATCTGTAGAGATTCCTGCCTCAGCCACCCTGGCAGGCACTGTGTTCCATTCTCTTTCACTTTTTCAGGGCATTTCTCATTGCCTGAAATGATCTTCTTGGCTCACGTGTGCTTGCTGCCTCCCGCCCTGGAATGTGGACGCTGCTGTGAGGCAGGCGCCTGCGCACTTCGCACCCTCAGTGCCTGGCACAGGGGTTGCTGACCAGGCACTTCTGCATCTGAATGGGGAAAAATAACATTTATTTTTGCAGACTTCTAAGTGAAATAGAGAATTTCTCTCAGTTACCGATATAGACAATGAAGCACAATAATATTAATAGCATCTGGGACTTTGTCACCAATAAAAGTCACAGATATTTTTGTATCACATAATAGCCATGGGCATCTCAATACCTGTTTGCACCACTACTTGGAAGCCATGGTGGTTTTCAGACTGACCGATGGATCTGGTTATTAAATGCAATAATAAATATATACACACATATTCCCTTACATGAAGAAGTAAATATAGTACTACATTACAAATTGTTTTGAAAGTAATTTAATGACTGTGCTTTAATATAGTTGGTTTCCTGAGTAATCCTGTGTAATTGGCTTCCTGTGTAACTTTACGTATTTGAAAACGTTTCTGTGAGGAAGGGCGCAGAGGCCCCATCAGACTGCCAGGAGTCCGAGGTGCAAAACGGCGCCTCCCTGACGTGGGAGCTCTAGGAAGGATGGATGGACGGATGGACGGATGGATGGATGATGGCACCCTCCACCTCCATTCAGTGGGGCTCTGTGTTTTCCGGGTCAGGTTTCTGGTGGCTCGGCATGAACTTGGTACTTAGGAAATAGTCTTGCTCGAGGTCTTTTGGAAATCTAGCTGATGCTGAAAGAGGCATTTAATGCCTACAGAGTACAGGGAACCAGGCCCAGTGCTCTCTTCAGCCTCGCTCTGAGCCTCTCTCTCTGAGGGACCGTCCCTGCGCCCAGTAGTATCTGGCCAGCCTCTACCCCTGAGAGCGCTGTGCCGCAGTTTGGTTAGCCAGCAGAGATCGGCATGTCAGGGTCCTGAGGTCCCAGGAGAATGAGGTGGCCACTGCGGTCCAATTGGTCCGGCCTGGGAGGCTTGGTTCCCATCTTCAGGGCCCCCTGGGGGGCTGGGAAAAGGTTCTTAGAGAGGGGTCTTGGCCAGGCTGACTTCCTGATTGGGAGTCTGGTTCTTGACAAGGAGCTGGGACTTGGCCAGGCCTCAGGGACTGAAGGTACACGGGCGGGGTTTTCTCTGGGCCCTGGAAAGGACCTTCCATCCTGCTTGGTTCTGTGTTTTCTTAGCATGTGAAATATCGCTTGTCTGAGAGTTGCTGCCCATAAATTAGGCTGACTTTGTCAGTGGCGAGACAGGCAGGATTCGGGTTGGAAACAAGCCCCCTGTCTGCCTCTCTAGCCCAGGCTGCCCAGAGGAAGCATGATGGGCATGCAGAGAGCAAGGGTCCAGAGCAGACCAAACCCCCCCTTCTCTCCCATCTGCCTCTGGACCACCTTTCCCAGTGACCTTTTTGGGCTTCCCTTGCCCTCCAGGATTGATTTTCTTGTGGGCACCATGCACAGGTCCAGCCTGTCCCAAATTAAATTCATCATCTTTCCCTGCACATCTGCCACAGCACCTCTGTCCCTTGCCATCCTGCTGGTTCCGCCAGCCAGAAACCATTCACCCTCAGCTCATCCTTCCTTGCCCTTCATCCATTTCTATTGAATTTCTGTCCTTACTGTCGCTCGGTCCCTCCCCTTCTCTCTGACGTCGCTGCTACGGCCTCAGCTCAGGGGACCTGCCTCATTTGTTGCCCGGATGGTTGCAGCTGGCTTCCAGCGGGCACCTCTGCCTTCCCCTGCCCTCCCTTGTCTATGTTCTCCCTCCCTTCCCTATCACTTTGCTGCTAACAAGTCGGCGTGGCTGCAGTTCTGTGACGCTCAGCGATGTGATAAATGCTCTGCTAGAACTGTGTGCGAATTGGCATGAGGGCAGCTGGTGTGGCCTTGGGTGGTCCGGGCACGGCAGCCAGGGGAAAGGACACTTGAGCAGGGTCTTGAACGATGATGGGGTGGTGGTACAGCGTGAGCAAAGGCACCAACCAAAGCGTGAGCTGCTCTCATTCTCCGCGCTTCAGAGTCCTTGTGTGTGATGTGGCTGCAGTGGCAGGACCCACCTTGAGACTGCTGGGGGGTCAGAGGAGCTGGGGTGTGTGAAGCCCCTGGCGAGCACTGAGCACGGTTGGCTGTCACCCAATGGTCTGGCACACGGGGACACGGCGGCATCAGTCTGCCATCTTCACCTTCTCAAACGAAGGTTGCCAAGTCTGGTGCCTGTGCGGGCGACTGTGCCCGGCCCGGCGTCCAGTCACCATGCGGGATGCGGGCGGGGTGCTGCCGGGCATTCCTGTTTTCAGCAAAAGTGAAAAAGCCAGAATTCTTTACGAAATTTTTTAATTTCTAAACATGGGGATTAATTTTTAAAAATCCCCAAACCTGTTCACGCCCAACAAGCTACACCTGTGGGCCATATTTAGCCTGAAGGCCACCAGCTTATCACCTTTCTTCAAAGGTCACCCCTAGGGTCATCTGCTCCAGCCTCCTGAAACTGCCCCAGGGGCGGGATCTCACCGGGGGCAGGGCTGGTTTTCATGAGCTCCCTTGCCTTGCAGGGCTTCTCCAGGCAGGTTATGTCCCCGGCAGAGGCGGCCCTGAAGCTCCCTGTGGCCTGGAGACTATGTACAAGAGGAATGGTCTGATGGCTAGCGTGTTGGTCACCTCCGCCACTCCACAGGTACGAGACTGCGCGGTCTGGGCGGGGGGCAGGGTTCTTCTCAGCTGACCCAGGCTCCCGAGGAGTCACGGACAGCGAGGCTGGGGGCTCTGTGAGCACCACCATCCTTAGCACGCCCAGGTCCCTGGCCACGCCAGGCGTCAGATTTGGGAGGCAGGCGGTCCTGAGGATCTATGTGTTTTCCAAAGTCGTTCTCTTCAAAGAAAAACAAATACCTGCCCAGTCCAGTCCTAGCAAGCGCCACATTCCATTTTGGTCACAAGAAGAGATCAGACCTTTCCCAAGAAAAGCCGCTGCTGATTCTAAGTCATACATTCCAGAATGAAGTCAGACAGAAGTGATTCCAGCCGGCCCCGTCTTCCTATTTACCTTGCTCGGTGGGAGATGGCTGTAAGGACTGGTGGTCTGAGAGTGGCCGGGTGAGGGCCTTTTCCCTGGGGCTCTGGGGTCTGCGGTCTGAGTTCAGTCATGGAACAGAGGCATGCAGGGGGTGTGGGTGTCGCCTGAGGCCCAGGGGTGCCACTGCGTCCAGTGGGCACCACCCCGTCCTGTGACGGACAGGCAGCACTCGGTGTTCCGAGCCCACAAAGGCCTCAGAGTTGAGCTGGGCTTTCGAAATGAGCTTGTGTGATCAGCTAGAAATTCACAGGAACTAATTCATTTTGTATACACCTTTCAGAAGTCTCCCTGTTTTGATCTGTGTTTCTGAAAGGCAGACTGTGGGCACGTTTTCCAGTCCCCTGATGGTGCCAGTATAGGTTTGAATAGTTACTGCATCGTCACCGCCCCCACCACCAGTGAGTATATTGGGGGCAGCTTTTGATGAAACAAGGACCCTTGTGTGAGCCCGTGTTCGAGGCAGACACGATGGGCACTGCAGGAAAGGGGTGAACCCTGAAGCCCAGGAGAGGACCCCGTGGTGACTGGAGGAACCAGACTTCTGTTAACGATTCTTCCTTCTCTACTCTCTGTGTGTGGGCATATACGTGTGCACGCACACACACACACATATATATATACACACATGCGTGTGCCCAGGACATGGTGAGTACTCGATAAGTATCTGCTGAAGGAGGAAGCAAGTGGGTGTTTGAGCGAAGTGCTCCGTGACTTTTGGTGACTGGAGGGCATGTGCGCACACACACACACACACACACACACACACCCGGGATTCGTGCTCACTGCACACCAGGCACTGCTGTTTGTCAGTCCGCAGGCTCTCTCACTTGGTCCCCTCGGTGACCCTCTGAGTTACAGACCGTTGTTGTAGCCCCCGTTTAGAGATGGGGAAACTGGGGCAGGGAGCGCTGGGTCAGTCGGCCTCGGCCAATCACATCACCTAGCCCAGGACCCTGTGGCTCGTGGGCAGCATGCCCCTCACCGTGATGGCACTGCACCACCCTGAAGAAGATCTGCCCCATCACACGACTCAGCCTGCCTCCTGGAAGGTGGGTGCGGAGGTGCAGAGTGACGGCAGGTGCGTGTCTGCGCAGGGCGAGTCCGAGACCCAGGGGAGGGAGAGGCCGCCGTTCCAGAGGCTTTCAGGAGTGGTCGGTACTACTTCTCAAAAGTGTAGTGCAGCTTTTCCTCAGGGGAGACTGTCTCACTCCCCGCACCCCTCTTAAAACAGCCACAGCTGAGCCCCCAGGCCCCCAGGCCCCCAAGCCCCAGGGTCAGCGTCTCCCCATGGGCAGGGCAGAGGATTCTTCCAGTTGCTTTTTGAGCTTCATCTACCACCCACATAGCAGCCCTGGGGAGCAGGTTCCAGTGGGGCCACTTCACAGATGGAACCTGGGACTCGGAAAAACGAAGTCACCTGCCGGAGGTCAGACAGCAGCTCTCGCGGGGCTGGCACTCAGCCAGGCCCGTCTGACCTCTGCGCCCTCAACCACCACTGCACACGGCTTCTTCACTTCATCTGGGGTTTTTGGTCGAGTAGATTCATTTGTAAGACCCTTAAATGACACAGTCCTATTAAAATCTGCAGGTTTAAGTTTCTGATTCTCCTTTTAACCTCACATTTTCAGTTGTTGACTATTGGTTTCCTTCACTGGCCGAAAACCACTCTAGTTTCCAGTAAGATTGCAAATTTTTTCCAGATATAGCCATTTTGGAAAGAGTGAAATAAAGAGGAATTAATAAAAGCATATTCTCTAAGTCCCAGTCCAAGATGTTGAGGTTAATGGAAACCACAAAATCCCTCTTCGTGGATTGAGACGAATAAAACCGTTTATGAATGGGGCACAATTTTGGGGTGGTAAGTGTGATTGGTTCCCCAAAGTAGAATTCGATGAAATTAAATGAAAGTGAAGAGAAGGCGTGTTGGACATTCTGGGATCCCTGCAGTGTTGGTTTTCCTGCGGCCGGCCACAGCTGGGGAGTTCTAGCTTGCTCTGCACGCAGCCCCTTCCTTCTCTCCCAGGGCCCGCAGCGTTCTCCCTGACGAGGGCCTGTACTAAATATAACTTGCACGCCCGTCACCAATGCCAGTTGGTTGCCTCTCACCTCATCAGCAAACAGGCTTTGAGTTCCAAGTGGCCCATGCATGAAATAAGCCTTTGGAGCCAGTTTAACATGTTGTGTGACAATATCCTGCTGTGACTTCAGCAGGAAAAAAAAAGGTGAAACTAGGTGGTGGTTGCAAGACATAACAAAACAGGAGATCTCAGGGCCCGCCAGGGATGTGCAGGCTGGCTCTCTGCAGGAGGAGAGGGCTGGCTGTCTTTCGGGTCTCGCCACCATGTAGCCAGCGGGGGGCAGGCGGGGTGCAGTGTGGAGGGTGTGCACTCTGGGATCAGGTGGCTACAAGGACAGGTTCACTCTCTCATTCTTCGCTTTCCTAGCTGAGGTACCTGGGGAGGTAGCACTGCCCCTACTTCCTTAGTTGCAGAATGGGAAGAATAATACTGAGTTGTTATGAGAATGAAGTAAGATTGCGCACAGGAAGTGGGATGGTGCCTGGGACAGAGCAAAGCGCTAAGCAGCAGCAGCTTTTATCCGCGACACCGCTCGTCACCCCGGCCACCTTGGTTCTGGGGAGTGGGGGGCAGGGGCGCTGGGTCTGCCAGGCTGCTCAGGTGGCACCATCTCTCTCCTCCCTCCCCAGGGCAGCAGCAGCTCAGACTCTCTGGAGGGCCAGAGCTGCGACTATGCCAGCAAGAGCTACGACGCTGTGGTCTTCGATGTCTTGAAGGTGACTCCCGAGGAGTTTGCTGTAAGTGACGGAACTGATGGGGTGCCGGGCCCACAGCTGGGTGCTAGAGGGAGTCACTGTTCAGGGCTTTTGCCCAGATTGGAAACAAGCCATATACCCACCAATAGGGGATTGTCGAATAAAGTATTCTTTTTGAAATGCCACACAGTGTTAAACAGGATGCCTTTGATCTAGAAATGAACCGCCGTGGGAGGCCTACACATACATATGAATGAATAGTAACTGGGAGGAGCCAGTTACAGCACAATTTATAGGGAATAATGCCATTTTTAAAAGCATGTACAATCAGTGTGTGGTTGTCTCTCACACATCCTCAACTGGGGACCTGGCCCTCAACCCAGGCATGTGCCCTGACTGAGAATTAAACTGGTGACCCTTTCATTCGCAAGCTGGCATTCAATCCACTGAGCCATACCAGCCAGGGCTGATGTTTACATATTTTAAATATTGAGATAAATACAGCAAACATTTGATTTACTGTAGTTTCTGGTTATAGGATTCTAGGTCATTGGAATTAATTTTTCTTATTTTTATTTGTAAATTTCTATAATAATTTTTTTACAATAATATACAGTATTATTTGGGCAGTTTCTATCATGGTAAATTCTTAAAAATTTGTTTTTTCTTCAGCCAGTGTGCTGCTGCTGGCCTGATGGAGGGAGCGTTCTTGTGGTGGAGGGGCGGAGTTGGCTCCCCATCCAGCCGTGACTCAGTTCCTCCCTTTGCACTTTGCGGCCGAGAGAGCACATTGGCTCGGGCCGACCTGGGGCCTGACTGGGGCTGCTGTCCCAGGGCCGCGTGCCTCTACAGAGCCATGGAAGTGTCTCCCCCCAGGCCCACTTCACCCTACCCCCTTGCTCCAGCAGGTTTCCTGCCCTTCCGGGTGCCACAGGAGTTAACTGGGCTCCCTCTTGTCCCCCTACCATCGTTGGCTCCCATGTCCACTTGGTCCGGGCCACACTGAGCCCGCTGCAGGCGTCTCCTCCTTCAGTGTGTCCGAGGGACCCTTTAAGGCCTGTACAGAGCTCCGAAGTGGGTCCCTCATGCTAGAGTGAGACCCAGAGCTGCTGCTGGCTTCCAGTGCCTGCTGTGGTCTGGCCAAGCCAGTTCTCCTGCCCCAGTCTGCTTGCTCTCCAGCTACGTGGGGGCTGCCTTTCTCCCCCAGACTCACTGCACCCCCTGCTCAGGGCCCTGTGCTTACTCTTCCTGCAGTTCTCACGGCTCTTCTCCACGGGTCTCTTAGCCGCTGTCCGAACGTCAGTCCTTGGAGAGGACTTCCGAACAGCATTGCTCTGCCGTTCCCTCTTCCCGTACCTGCTTCATTGTCTTCATACCTCTTATTATTCTCTAACGTTATATTACTTAATAACGTTTTATGGTGTATTTTTTTTCCTGGAACATAAACTCCCCAAGGACAGAGACTTTATTGACTTGTTCATTGATGTGTCCCTAGCGCCCAGAATAGTGCCCAGCTCATAGTCGGTGCTCCGTAAATCCACATTGCCCAACAGGCATCAGGCCCCAGCACAGCCTGATGAGGCAGACTGTGGCTCCCAATTTTCTAATAAAGAAACTAAGGGTCTGGGAGATTGTTTTCCCTGGTCAGGTGTGGGCAGAAAGTCTGAAACCGTTGTCTGTGCTCCGTTTTGTTCGTGCAGGGCAGTAATGCAAGGGCAGCTCCTACCTCCCAACGGTGTCTAGGTCACATGCCAAACATCTTCCACGCATCTTCCAGTCTGCTTTTCGCAACAGCCTTGTAAGTTAGGTGTATTCATCCTTCTCATACACTAATGAAGAAGCAGATTCTTAGCAAGCGCACCTCTTCACACAGTGAGTGGCACTGTCTGTCGGGGATTTAACACCAGGTGTCTGACATTCTAGACCAATGCCATCCAGAGACATGCAATCTGAGTCTCATCTGTGGCTTTTAAATTTTCTAGTCGTCACACAAAAAAGGGGTGAAATTAGTTTTAAATATATATTTTATTTAACTTTGTACATATTGTCAGTTCAACATGTGAGCAACATACCATTATTGAAATACTTTGTATCCTTTTTTCAAAGTAGGTCTTCTGAACTCAGTGTGCATTGTAAACGTGAAGTCCTGGTGACACTGCAGATGGCAGCATGTGGCCGGTGGCCCGCTCGCTGGGCCTGGAGCCACAGGCTCTGCGGCCTCTTCCTCGGAGGGCTGCATAGGCCTTGCTGGCCGCAGGCTGAGCCTCTATATTCTATTTGCTTTTGTTTGCTTGTTGCATTTTTAGTTGTATTTTTTAGCTTCGGGAAAGGAATGAAGCAGTAATGAGGTTTAAAGTCCCTTTGCAGTTGTCCATCGTGAAGAATGGCAGGGAACTGGGCCGCACGTGGAGTGCCACCGTCCAGCAGGGCTCCCTGGGGAGACTTTGGGCCGCACTTTGTGGTCCGAGCCCTGGGGTGATGCTCGGCCTCTCCCTGGGCAACTTTCTGAGGCTGGAGAGCTACAGGGAGGGGGGTGAGGGCTTTGAGGGTGCAGTGCTTACTCTCTGGCTGCCCCTGCTGGAGCCTGCGTGTCTTCAGCTTAGATTTGAAGCCTGGTCCCCTGCAATCCTTGATCTCCAGGGAAGCATAGGAGTTGCCAGGTGTTGGACTCAAACCGGACCACCTGGCAGTTTAGTTTCCTGTCTAATAATGTGAAAGAAAGAAACCAGCGAGATACCAAAGGCCATCAGAACCCACTTATGGGATTTTGAGAATCCAGTGGAGACAAGAGCAGAGCGTTTGTTCTTTCTCAGGCCCCACATGGCCCACTCGGAAGTCCATTCACAGTGTCCACAGCACAACTAGGTGACAAGTTACCCATCAAACCCGAAACACAAGTGCTGGGCATGTGCCACCACCCAAACCTGCAGGGTATCAGTGTCTGTGTAGGAGAAAGCAGCAGTGAGCATGGGGGCCCCTGGCAAACATGAGAACAGGAGGGATCCAGAGTTTTCAGCTGGAGTTCGCTGGGAAGTTCGGTGGGTTAATGTGAGAACAGCGGCTGAAGCTGAGGATTTTGAGCACTCGAATGACCGATGAGTGGAAGAGCTCTGTGGACTGGCCCCTGTGCTCTCTTGAAACAGAGCCACCAGGGCGCGATTCCAGGACAAGGCTCCATGTCAATGTGAAAGTCAGTATGGGGTGGAGCCAAAACGATCAGGACAAGGGAAGTTAGGGTTAAGGAAAAGTAAAATTATAAATAAATAAACAAAATGTGTGTATGAGAAATCTCAGAAGCAACTGCATGCTTTTTAAAAAACAATATTATTTATTTTTAAACAGAAGGGAAGGAGAAAGAGAGGGAGAGAAGCATCAATGTGTGGTTGCCTCTCATGTGCCCCCTACTGGGGACCTGGCCTGCAACCCAGGCATATGCTCTGACTGGGAATCGAACCAGTGACCCTTTGGTTCACAGGCCTGCATTCAATCGGTCGAGCCACACCAGCCAGGGCAGCAGCTGCATGTTTTTGATACTATGTAAAGGCCACCAAAAGAACTGTATGAAGTTAGGAGAACTACGTAAAAAGTTCGGGAAAGCTGATTTTGCATAAAAATAAAGAAGATGAAATTATTTTTGTCAAATCTTTGAGTTATTATAAAAAATAGTAAGGAGAAGATTTCTATAGATAATGAAAGAATGCCAAAAAGACATGTGACAAAGGAGTTGGAAACTGTAATTCTCTATTTCAAACTAAGCTCAGAGACATTGAGATTGTGCTGTGAGCCTTCAACAACATAAATCTGAAGTAGAAAAATTTTAGGAATGAGGCGACAGAAGTTAGGAGAGAAGTGAGAATAAAAATACAATTCTGGAAATGAAAGTTGAACTGGAAGAAATATCAGAATAGATAAACATAAGAGAAAATACTTGAAGGCAGGAAAATTATTAATATCAAATGAAGGAGATAATAAGACTGAGAAAAAGTGACAAATATTGATGATAGGCAAAGAAGATACAACACACAGATAATAAAAATACCTGGAAGGGGAGAATAAAAAAGCAGTGGAACTGAACAGATGCTTAAACTACAATTTAAAGAACTTTCATAAAATAAAACAAAGATTCAAAATTATGTATCGAAAGAGCACGGGATAAAGGTGGCCACGTTGACCCAGAGTGGTCAGTTCCGTCGACCTGTTCTCGGTAACCTGCTGGATGTTAAAGGAAAAGAGAGTCCTTCGGGCATCTACGCAAAACAGCAGGCGGCTTATACGAGGAATAACATTGGATCACCATCACCCTTTTTGACAGAAGCAGTTTTTGCCGAAAGAAAGTAGAATAACAAATCAAGGAAAGAAAAGAAAATATGAGCCAAAACTTTTATGTTTGGCAAAACCTTCTAGAATGAAGGGCACTGCTAAACGATCATGAACACACAAGGCCTCAGAGAACATTCCTCCTGTGAGCCTTTCCAAGGAACCTGCTGGAAAACAGGCTCCAGGCAGTGAAAAGGATTAGGGACCCACCACTCCCAAGACTGGTGGAGAGCAACAAGCGCACGCTCACAGCAGAGTCCAGGCTTCCTAAGGATTAAACGGGAGAAGGTATGGTGTGTGATGGCTGTGTGCCCATGTAATAGGCACAGTATGACTAGTATATTTGGTGTACACTGTAAAAAAAGGAGAAAGGAGAGAAAATATGCAAAACTTTATAACTTCCCTCAGTGATTATATTGACAGAGTCAGCATCAGTGTTGTTGTTCTGAGACCACTGTGCGTATAATACAGGAGAAAGTAAGTGGCCAGTTATGGGGCACTGTAACCCTGTACACCCTGTGTCCTGGAGGCCAGGACGTTTGATCCGGAAGAAAGGAGATATAGATGTAGCACAGAAGAGTAAGTTAGGGGGAAAAACATTCTGAATTTGAATTTGAAATATCAGTATGAATTCCAGATTGTGGTCTTGGAATATTATTTGTCACTAAAAGACTCCACGGCTTCCCAGGTAGCTGGTTGGTCCCAAATCTGGGACAGGACACATT